AAAAAAAACCCCAAAAGAAAATATACTTAACTAACTCCTAATGATTATTTAAGCTTTATGTCTAAGAAAAATATGTGAGCATAAAAGAAATCTAAAGATGATATAATTAAATGACCTTGCTTTATTCCTGGTAATATCTAATTAAGAAATCAGAATATCATTAAAAGCTTAAGATATTCTAAAATATTTACATGATTATGTTGACAAAAATTAAAGTTAAATATCTATATACTTAAACCAAATTGTTTTAAAACTGTACATGATTTGAGAACCTTTCAAAAACAAATAGTTGCCAACAATCAGAACAGCACATGCATACTACAGCAGTGATGTTAATTCATGGACCCTACAGGCATCGATGTGTGTTTAGTGGTACATTTATCACAATCAGAGTCTATGGTCCAGATGGAATTAGATGGTTAATGCTACTTGGACTTCAGTCAAGATATGCTTGGTCATCTTTACACCCACCACAGGACTATCCATAAGTGTCTTACTAGTGGTAAAAGCTTGGTAAATATTTGTTGCATTGATTTCCTTCAGTTTTGGCCGGGCAACCTCATTTTTCCTAGGTCTGTTGTATCCAAGCTAAAATTCCAGAGCTGTGGTAATTCTAGAAACGTAGGCATTAACTAAATCTTTTGTCACTGAGAAAATAACAACTCTAAATGTAAGCTCCAACATGAAGTAAGGCAGTTAGTTATTATTCAACATGCCTTCCCAAGAGATTTTTAAAATTAGTGGTGGCTTGTTGTCTTTTATCCCCCAAGTTACAGATACTACATGTGCCATACCACCATCTGCATTAACATAAATGATAAGTTACATAGGCAGTGAGGAAGCTAGGAAAGAGGAGTTAGTGTTTTCCCTTCTCCCTAATCCTGTTAAAGGTTGAGTGGAGAGTATGAAAAAGGAGAGAAGTCAGAATGTTAGTGCTACCTAGGGAAGGGCTAGCTGCTACACATTGAGATTTACCACATTCTTTAACAATAGAAAAGAAAGATTAGTAGCAATTTTGGAGCTTGGTGAAGTGAGCAGCTTTAATGCCAAAATAAATGCTAGCTATATGGATTTATTGAATAATATAACTTCAGTAAATATGCTTCTGAGATCAGAAGTGATTTCTTTTAGAATTCAGACAATCTTTATCTAGATGGCAGGGAACCCTAGACTGCAAGCTGAGCCAGGTGTATGTTAAGCACAGGGCATGTAATGAGGGAGGGGAAATATGGGGTTAGAAAATAACCTCTTTAATATGGGCATATCTTAATTTTCCTTCCCTCCTTCTGTGTATACAATTCTTTATTCACAAGATCTATTCTTATGTTTCTAGCATTCACTCAAATTTTAGGTATAGCTTAAAAGCTTATGACTACAGAAGAAAGAAGAAAAATGGATGGAGATTGTACCCTGTAAAATGGTACATTTTTCTCAAAGTTTAAATATAAAACATTATTATATATATATATATATCTTTTCTGTAAAGCTAAATCAGTACGTACTAGACAAAACAGAGCAGGGAATTCAAATCTTCAAATAAAACAAATACATTTAATCTGAAATATATACCTCAGACTTTTGGAATTGCTTCCTTCGTTTTCTCCATTTCAAGCCTCTACATGACATTAAATTTCTTCAAAGGCTCAAGTGAAGCAAAAAGCAGCTTGGATTAATTTATTACATTCTCTTGGGATTTTTAAAGTGTCACAGAATTTCATCAAATTTCAAATGCAGTCATTCTGGGAGCTAGTTAAAAATGAAGCATCTTGAATCACAAATCCAGACTCCAACTCACTAGAGCACCAGAGGTGATTCAAGAGCCCATGAACTATGATTACAGTGAGAGTGGTTTTATCACCCCCCACCCCTCTTGTAATTTATCTTTGGGTTGTTCACACCTCTTTGGTCACTGACCATGTGTCCTGCCCCCTTCTCATAGCCAAATTAACTGTTGCTTTTGTCAGTATTACAGGTGTCATCATAACAGAAGTTGAATTCCATCTTCACTTGCTTGTCCGACAATTACTACACTCTTGTCTACTATGATTTCCCCTTGCTTTCTTTGTCTTTATCTTTTTATTTCTTTTCTTGCTCTTATCCACTGGTGAGGGACCCGAGGTTAAGAGAGCTCCGGAAAAGAATTCCAAAAGAGGAGAGGAAATGTCATTAACAAAAAATTATATTATTTGTAGGAAGGTTGGTTGCATGTGAGGGGCCCTTAGCTGGGAAGTTAGGAGCTGGGGCGAACAGACATTTTCCTGCAGGCAGTCGAGGAGACCCAGTGCTATCCGAGGTGCTGAAATGAGCAAGTTTCAGGGTTCTAGAATCCCCAGGATTAAGACAAACTTGGGTTGTGTGGAGATAGCTCCACCCTTACGAACCGCGGATGGTCGCAGGTCCCGAAGACGGACCAGAAGAGCCAGAGGGAGACCTTGGCCAACGTTCTGGGAACAGCCAGATGGCTTAGGTTACCAAGGGTCTCCCCACTGCGGCTCTCCCTGGTGCGGTACCGAGATGCGTGGCTGCTGAGCCCAGGCTGGCCGCGGACTCACCGTGGACTCATCGTGCCTAACACTCACCAGAAAGTTGAGCCCGCCTGGGCGCACCAGGCGGTAGCTGCAAGTCGCGCAGTCCTGGCTGCATTCCGCCTGCACCGTGGCCAGGACGCCGGGGCCCAGCGCCAGCAGCCAAGTACAAAGTCTCAGGAATCGCGCCATGGACTGAGAGGAGAGAAGCAACCAGTGATCCAGGCGCAGACCGTAGCCCTCTGGAGGACCCCTCGCCGCGACAACCCCACCTGGGGCGCCGTCGAGGGAGAGCACTCTCATGCCTGGTCCCCCGCCCCCGCCCGAAGTCCCGACACCTTTTAGGGAGACCTGGGGTTGGCTGGATCGCTTCGCGGCTCCTAGGTTGTCGCAGTCGCCCTCCAAACCCGGGCTTGCCAGGGGCACCCTACTCTTTTCTTGGGGTCCTTAGCCTAGGACAGTGTTCTGTTGTGCACGCCTGAGAGCAAGGGCCGTGGCGTGGGCGCTTGGGAGACATCCACGGGCCTGGGTCAGAAAGAGGAACCAGGAGAAAGCCGGGGGACCCGAGCCATGGGAGCAGGCGGACGTCCCTAAACCCGCGCAGCAAGAGCGGGCTCGGGGGAAACTCACTCACGTTGCGGCTGCTGGGATGGAGCAGGCGGGTGGGGACAGCCCGGTCCCAGGCGCGGCGGCTCTGGAGGAGAAGGAGGCCAGCGTGAGGGGCGGCGTCGGGGGAGGGGCAGGGCGCGCGGACCGACGCGAGCCTCACCGTCGCTCGCGGTCCGGGTGTTGCCGTGGGGCCGCGGGGTCCCGGCTGCTGGGCTCTGAGCGCCCGCCTCGCCGTCCCTGCGCCAGCGGCGGCTGCAGGAGCCACTTTATAATCAGCCCCGAGCCGAGCCGAGGCGGCGCGCGACCCAATCGCCCGCGGGCTGCCGCTGACGCAGCTCCGACGCCAGCCGCGCCGACGCCTTCGCGGGAGGGGTCGGTCCCAGCCCAGCACGACCCGGCCCCCCCCCCCCCAGGCTGCGGGCGGGGCGCTTGGCGGGTCTCCTTGCTGCCCGGGGACCAAGCCGAGGAAGTTAGGAGATTTGGGCAGGGAGTGGACGGGGGTCAACTTTTCCCCCCCAAAAGCCGCTGAGATTGCACCGTGGGGAGCGCACCGCAGTGAAGAGTTTAGAACTCAGACTGGTCCAGAAGGGTGGACGGGCTGAGATGTGCCGGAGGCTTCCGGGCTGTTCTGGAGACCCGCCCTGCCGACGCGGAGCACAGCGGTCCCGAGCACCGTCCTTTAGGCACCGTCTGTCCTCGGCCCTTGGGTCTGAGTTCCTTGCTGCCGCGGCTAATAGCATCGGGCTCACAGTGGGCGCTCGATTAACGATTACAGAAACGAACATTCAGCTTTCTGGGAATCTTAGTCTCCCTTTTCAATGAGTGTGATTCCCGGCCAAACAAACAAATAAGATCCCGGGTTCTGGAAAGGGGATCCTCGGAGGACTGCACATCCGGCGGGCGACTCCGTCTCCAGCGCGCCCCGAGTGTGGCGCACAGAGCGCTGAGGATCTTGGTGCCCGGGGGCCAGGGCTTGGGACCCGCATCCGCTCCACAGAGGGAGCCGAAAGCAGGAGGTAGGGGCTGTGGTTTGAGACTGAGCTTGCTCCGCGCTTCCTGGCTCCACCAAAGGGTGGCTAATGAGCAAGCTGCCCGCAATGTCGAAGGCCTCCCTTTGCCCATTTGGAAATCAGGAACAGGGGCAGTATGTCTTTAGGGAGGTGCAGCGTTCAGAGGAGAAGCAAATGGAATAGTGGGCGACATCCCTTAGACTTGTGCCTGACATATAGCAAGCCCTGAAAAAAATGTTTTTAATCATCTGTCATGCATCTACTTTTCAATCTGTCTGTCCATCATCATGCATGCTACATCTATTTTTTATTTATCTATCCACTTATGCATATATCTATCTCCCTTGTTCTAGGGACATACCCAGACAGTCCCAGGGATTATACATAGAGAAAACAAATCACAGGGCGGGCCGGCCCTAGGCGTCCTCTGCAAAGGATCCATCACCATTTCAACCGTCGCGGGGACCTGTATTCCCACGGCTCCTCCTGGGCTCGCGCCGCCCTGCGTCTTCTATTTTAGTCGCTAGAGGGCAGTGGTCTCCTGCACAGAAGCGCAGGGATGGGGTACCGGGCCACGTCCAGGGCCCGCTGGCCTCCACCAGTCCGCGGGGGACACTGCATCCGCGTGACCCAGGAGCGGCACTGCTCGCCCCCGCCTCTCTAGCTGGGGGGCAGCCTTTTAGCTGGGACGAGAAACCGGAGCTCTGGCGTGAAGTGGGGCCAGGCGGGGTGGGTAGGGGAGGAGGAGAATGCCCTAAGGAACGAATTTTGTCCTCTTGACAGAAAAACACAAATGTTTTCCCTTAGTTCTTTTGGACTTTTCCCGTCGGAGGTGTGGTAGTGTCCTCTCCTGGTCTTAACTCACACCCCTCGCTCTCGTGCTCCCAGTGCAAAAGCGAGCTCCTGTCATTGCTTAAGAGGTTTCTCTCCTTGCCCAGGCTTTGTAAAGGAAGTCACTATACTGCCGTGCTGTGCAAATGAGTGCATGGAAAACATCCTGTCTACAATTAAAGAAAACTTGCTAGATCTGAGAATTTAAAACACATAATAAGGGGCAGGAGGCTGAGGGGCGTGTGTGAAATGACAGTGCCGCGTGATTCTTCCTTAGGGCTCCTAGTGTTGGTCATGGTAAGCCTCTTTAGTACCGTCGGGAAGAGGGAGCTTAACTCTCCAAAGGGGGCTTAAGGATAGTTTATCCCAAAACCTCTTTCTATAGATGGGAGAAACTGGGGTGCAGTCTGTCCAAGTGACCAGCCTAAGGAATGGGAAGCCAGGTTCCTCAGCCTCTCTAGAGAGAGGTGCTTCCTTGTACCTACTTCAGGCCTACTTTATTTCTGTTGGAATGATTAATGCCTGCAATTTTCTCTCAGGCTTCTTAAATGTCAGGGGAGAAAGAGAAAATGAAAAGGTACCCGGTAGGAAAAATGCATGGGTACTTAGGACCTGTTAGATTCTTGAGACACATTTAATGTTCAAAAATGTGTGCTGATTGACTCGAATGAGTGAATAAATGAACGAATGAAGTGAAAGGAAGCTTGTTTGCATACTCCAAATCAGTGACAATCTCTCCTTCATCTAAAGCTAAAAGTCATACATTTTTGTATTCATTTCTTAATATTTGAATTAGTGGCAATGTTGAAGGCCTCCTTTTTGCCATAGAGAAAATAGGGACTGAGGTGGTCTATCTTTTGGGAGGGACAGTATTCAGAAGAGATGCAAATGGAATAATGGACAAAAGGAATCTATTTTTAAACAATCTTTTAAATATCAAGATCTAACAGATTTTGACATTAGGTTCAAGGCAAAAGGTGTTTCAGAAGTCAGCCTCAAGACAAGGGAGGGGAATCCATCTTGGAGCATTTAATCCAGAGATTTCTGATTTCAGGTCAAGCTCAAGATCTTAGTCTCTTCTGTTCCTAGGCTGCCATGCATTAGCTCACAGGGACTCAGCCCAGAGACCGTGAGCTGTGAGTTTAAAAGTCCTGATGATGAGTGGTGTTTAACTCAGATCTTAGGTGTTCTAAAAAGGAAGGATTTTAAAAAGTGCTCTAAATGTCCTCTTCCATCGTTTCTAGAATAGAGAATGCCTAAACTGAGTAATGTCTTTCAGTGCCCACTCTTCTCCTCCCTCCCCTTCCAGCCACCCAAACACCCATTTAATTACAGAAAGCTATTTCTCTATGGCCTTGTCTCTCTAAAGCAGCAGTTGTGGAAGCAAGCACCTCTGTATGCTGGTGATTGTGTAATGTTTCAGCGTAAAACACTATGTTCTAACGTTTCAGATGTTTGTAGTAATGCCAGAGACACGGAAATCTTGCCTGTTTTCACTTTCAATCTAAAGCTCACACTTAGCAAAATGTGATTCAGTGAGCTGTGCATGTTACTGTGAGCATCACTGATAAGAGAGTCTTTTCAGATGGGCTCAGAACACCATAGCAGAGCAGCTGTAAGTGGAGTCAGCTTGGGCACCATATTTGTTTTATGGTTTGATATATTCTTATTTTAAAGAAGGTATGTGATTTCTCATTTCCAAAATCCAGGCAATAGAATAAAAACCTTGAAAGAAAAAGTAACCTGGTACAAAAGGTGTGTGTGTGTGTGAGAGAGAGAGAGAGAGAGAGAGAGAGAGAGAGAGAGAGAGACAGAATTAAGCTAAGACTATCAAACATACTGTTTCATACTATAAACTTAAGGGAAACTTTCCAAATCTGGCCTTCAGCTCTCAGAGGGAAAAGATAAATTTTAGTATTAAGCATATGAAATGAAACATTGGCTAAAACAAGTCATATTATGACTCATCAGATTAAATGAAAACATAGCTGTGAATGCAACTAATACATGATTTCTTGAGCGGCTTGATTTTTAATAATGACTTTTAGAATTGTTTTAAAGAATTTAATAGCTGTATCAGAGAAACAGACACGTAAAAAAATTGTGTTGGCTCATTAGACACAAACCTTATTTAACAACTTGACTTTGATTTGCTTTTGGTTGTTTTCCAACTTAAATTCCAGCTCCTACTTATGAGGTGCTCAAAAAAATTGAATGAATGAATGATGAACTACACCAAAGAAACAATGTCCACATTTAAAGCAATGTTAGGATATCTAAACAGATTTTGAGCATTAATAGATCATTGAAGTAAATTCAGTGGCTTAAGGGTTCTTAAGGGAGTTTCTTCCTTTCACAGGGGTTTGTGCATAGCAGAGACTCAGGAAAACTGCTTTAAAACTACATTCCCGCTTAATATATCTTTTGTGTCTTAACAGTGACCTCAGTTCCTACAACTTCTTCTGACACATAGCAGGCTGTTTTATTTAATAAATACTCAGAGCTGATTAGTAAAAATGAATTAGATCAGAAATAAATGAAATTGAAACATAAATCAATAGAAAAAAACCCAATGAAACCAAAAGCTGATTTTTTGGAAAGATCAATAAAATTGTTAAGTTCTAGTTAGGCTAACTAAGAGGAAAAGAGAGAGGATACAAATTGTTAACATCAGAAGTTACAGAAGGGATGTCACTACAAACAGCATGACATTTAAGAGGATAAAAAAGTGTATTTTGAATTTACTCTTTAGAGTAAGTTTGAATTTTTTTCAAAAGACACAATCTGTGAAAACTCACACAAGAAGAAATAGACAATCAGCATAGGTGTAAACCTATTAAGGAAAATGAAATAATGACTATTCACCTAACACAGAAAGGCCCAGATGAATTGACTGGTGAATTCTACTAAATATTTAAGGGAGAAATTATACCGATTTTCTATAGTCTCAGAAGACAGAGGCAGAGGGAATACATCCTAACTTAAGTTCTATCAGAGCAGTATCATTCTAATATCAAAACTAGACAAAAATGAAATAAGAAAATAAAACTAAATACCAATACCTCTCATGAAAATAGGAACAAAGTTCCCCAACAAAATACTAGCAAACTGAATTTAGCCATGTATAAAAAGACCATGATTAAGTGGGATTTACCCAAGGTATGCAAGTGCAGTTCAACGCTGAAATATCAATTAATGTAATCTATCATATCAACAAGCTACAGAAGAAAATTCACATAATTGTATAAATTCATACAGAAGAATCTTTTAATAAAATCCAACATCTATTCAGGATTAAAATTTTCAGTAGAGTAGAGGGATACTTCCTCAACTTGGTAAAGACTATTTACAAAATACCTGTAGCCAATATCACACTTTTGATGAAAAACTCAAACTTTC